ATGGTGTGAAACGGAGGTCTCGGAGGAGACTGATGATATGGACTGCGACGAGGTAGAGTTGGGAGATCGTCGGGATGTGACGCTGGGACAAGCCTAGGGATGTACCGGACCAGCTGAAAATGCTCGATTGTGGAAGTTTGGTGGAAGTTGGCAGGAGTTTGTTGGCCGCAGGATTGACGGCGATGGATATGAGGGCGAGATGAAGATGCTGAGGGCTGAGGAGTTGGAGTTTGATGCGGACGGATGTTGGCCCGTCCATCAGTCAGCGTGTGGCTGACATCAAATGCTCTTTATCGCCGCCTCGATCGATCAGGTCAGAACCATAACACGACGAATAACATCAAGCTGCTCAGCTACTCTAATTCCCCCCCTGAATCGAATATTTTACACCCTGCACTAGCTACTGCACCTTGCTTGCCAAGTTGCCCTCGGCCCTTCCATGCCTGAGTAGCCCGACTCTTCCACCGTGGGTCCTGGCCTCCTGGGCGAAAATACTTCCCTCCGTCGCATACAACGCGCCGCGCATTGCATACACTAAGCATCACTTCACAAGCCTAACACCCAGGCTAAACGGCACTCTCTCCTCTTTTGTTCCGGCTCTCATTTGACCATGCGCTGTTTGTATCCCCTTCCCAGTCCTGGGCCTCTTCCCCCAATCCTCCACTGCCGATTTGCACCGTCTGACACCAATTGGGCCTCCATGGCTCCAGGACGCCCAGAAAATGACCACCCAGCTTGTTTCAGATCAACGCGATGCAGCAAGACCCGCTCCTGACTCGCAGGCTTGCTTTTCCATTTCGGAATTAAAAAAAAAAAAAAAAAAAAAAAAAAAAAACTTAACTTACTTGTGTATCCATGGTTCAGAGACTCAGAACCCGCAAAGGTTCCATGCATCCACCTGCGGCAGATCAAATAATTGGAGGATCCCGCTAAACGGTGTTGGCATTCCCAGGGTTACAAAATCTTTGACCTCCGCATTTTCTCCCCCTTAACTTGTTAGACAACTACTAATCACTAACGGCTGCCAGGGCTGCCAGGGCCATGGTCAAGATCTGCAATTTTGAGGACAAAGGAAAGACGAAACAACCCGAGACAGAAATTGAAAATGAAAATGAGGGGGAAAAAAAAATAAAATAAAAATAAGACTCGTCAACGCCCAAGACATCCTTACCCTGAAGCTCTCCCCAGAACACTGATGTGTCAAAGTGTTAAACTGCAATGTTTCTTTGTCCTTTTTATCTCCTACCGTCAAGCAGATATTTATGCCGCAAGAAGCCCATCCCCTCTACCCATCTTTCACCAGTCAGCCCGAGCCAGTATCGTCCATCACCTTGTCGTGGCACATCGGCCACATAAACATAATCGCGTCATTCCCTACTCCATCCTGGGGTCTAGGAAAGATTCTTCCGATTCCGAGAAAACCTCTTTACTCGATAATACCAACCATTTCCACGATGTCTGACGAAGTTTTATTTCATATGCGGGCTTCGGCTGATATACAGCACTTTTCCACCCTGGCTTCTGTTTCGTATTGCAAAGTCTTGTATCTTATCCCCGGACTGGGGCTCAGACATGGTTCGACGTCAGAACGTCAAATAGATGTGGGAAGGAAGTGGAGGGGAATGTATAAGAGAAAACGTCGTTCTTCGCCCCCCAATAGCCCAAGTCCAATTAACTCAGGTTAGTAGAGCGAGATCAAAAAGCAGCAAAGAATTGACCGGTTATATGCATCTATGAGTACATCTATATGATAATCGCACCACCCTGAATGGGAGGTTATGAAGGTTCGCGGCGTGTGCAACATCCTCCCGTGAATGTTTCGTGGTCTTAACTCGAGCGAAGGAAAATTTTCTCGTGACGCCGAGAGGGGAAGCGAGAAGAAGCAAAATAATAAGGATGATTAGAAACTAGGGGAATATGGCTGAGTTAAAATGTTCTTCTGTTTCCCTTGCCTATTTCTTTTTCTTTTCTTTTCTGCTTTTTCCAGAAAGGGAGGGAAGTACAATAAATAATATATCACATTGAACATCATACGCTAAAAAGCTTAAATAATGATTTTTTTGAAAAAAAAATTAAAAATTAAAAAAAGAAAAAGGTGGGGACTTCAATTCATAAGACCGCTTTCCGCCGCTTTACCTCAACAACTCAGCGTGAGCTATACTCCAGAAACCTTAATCTCAACGTGGCTGCAAATAAACCGCAATCATAATCAAGGCATTTCATGAACCTGGTGGCCTGTCTGCGTTACAGGGACGGCATCTGGTTTAAAGTAGCCATGTATCAGCGAGAATTCGGGACCGTTCGCAGGGTGGTTCATGGGTATATCTCGTGCTTCGGATGGTGAGGTATTTGCGAGCATAGGGATGCGGCTTGTTGGCTACATACATTTATTAGTTCGGTTCGGACTTTGACATCATGTACACGTATCGTACAACGCTTATACATAATAGCTGCGTCTCGGCGAAGTGAGGGAGGAAAACAACCGAATGAAAGGTCGGCTATCGCAAAAACTTACATCTTCCTTACGCCACAGCTTATTGAAGAAGCCGGAGATACCGCCACCAGCATCACCACCAGATACAGAACTGTATCTAGAATTATGTCCCGAACGAGCAGCGTCGGCACCGGTATTAGCACCGGCACTCGCGACAGCTCCCCTCATCCACACACGGTACACCAACGCACCAAGAAACACCGCAATGGCAGCCAACGGAATCCCCACGCCAAGCCCGATTTTCATACCGATATCATCATCTTTAGTCTTTTCCACAGGCGATTGCGGCGCGAGAGTGAATCCTGCAGCCCCATCTCCGGTTCTTGTAGGGTTTATCAACGATGACGGAGACCCGGAGCTTGCTCCAGATCTGAACGTAGACGCAAGAGTAGCTGTGGATTGCGTGCCAGTATTCGTCGCAGGGGTTGATCCGGTCGATTTGGTGGATGCAGTCGAATCAGTTGTCCGTGGCGGCGGGATCACGCCTGATGGGGTGAATAGAGATGTAGTCTCTACGGTAGAGTTGAGGGAGACTGAGGAGCCGACGAGGGAGGAGTAGGGTGGGAGGAAGTCGAAGATCTTATGTGTGTTGTCTTGGGTGGTGCAGTTGCATTCTGGGCCGTCGAGGCAGCAGTAGGTGTCTTCCGCACAGCGAACGACGGAGTTGTGGACGTGGTCTCCTGTTATTATAGGTTAGCTTAGGAATATATAACTATATATATATATATATATATATATATGAAAAGAAGAACAGACGGAAAAAACAATATCCAGGACACGCGGGATTGTTCCACGTTGGATCAGTGCAGCTTCCTATTACGTAGTAACCGCCATCGTAGTGGGCACACATGTTATTTGTGGCGCAGACATATTGGCTCCCGCCGCAGCAGGCGGATTCGGGGTTCTGGGGGAAGCATGGAGCGTCGTTTTCTTCGACTTCGCCGCTGGGGAGGTAGCATGTCCTGCTGGCCACGGCGGGAGGGGGGTTGGAAAAGAAGAGCAGAGAGAGACATGCGGCTAATGAGGTTTGGGAGTAGATGAATTTCATATCGATAATTCGAGGAGGAATGTATTGGAATTGGAATGTGTATCCGCTCCGGTGTCAGAGGGCAAGGAGGGTACCCAAGGATTAGAGATGCATGCGGAAGATAGTGGTGCGGATATCAGCACTGGAGAGGATCAAGGGAGGGTGAGAGTGATGTAGCCTCTCGTAAGACAATGGGCGTCAGAAGAAACAGCAGGTACGTACATTACAAAAGGGGGGAACCAGGCGGAGAGGATTGAGCAGAAGCAAACGAGAACACTGAGGAGGGACCCGGGATACCAGTGGAGCGAGATGGCCAGATGCAGCTGGAAACGATTTGGAAACAATATTCACCAAGCATTTGGATATGAGCGGAAATGATCTCAAAAAGCAGACGTGTTCCTCTTTGAGTCTAGAGGCGGGATGAGAGAGAGGCCATAGTGGCTGGGTTTGGCGCAAAATAGTCCGTTGGAGGAAATGCCGAGATGATGTCGTTTGGCCCCAGTTTATTGACCAGTGTGGAGGTTAACAATATCAAGCTAGATTGAATTCAGTAAGAGGTCAATCTGCACAGACAGTCGGGGATGATAACACATCGTCTGTTTGGACATTCTGTGACATTCTCGCAGCTGATATCTGGTATCTTTACAGCTCATACCAACTCAACCCGCCATTTCCCGGTCGAGTACCAAGTATACCGCCATCGATCTCCGTTTTGAAGATGTTTCCTTGCGATGCGCCAGTTGTGGGGACTCGGGAGGGGATGCAGGAGAGCATGTGTGGAAAGTTTGCGAGCCGAGGACTTGGACAACGGACTTTCCGAAATTTGGGGGCCAAAGTGTGCAGCGAGCATGCTGAAAAATGACTGATGGATGTGACAGGGCTGGGTACTACTAATTACAGATTATCGCTGTTATTGCGGGAGAGTTCGTTGATCTTCTATTCTTATTCCTCCAACGGGCACATAAACCACTGTGCGCAACAAACACAACCAGACTCCCGCAAGAGATTTCGGCGACTTTGTGCACCGGTCCGCCATGGCGTGTGATACACACACGGCGTACCTTTGTATGATTTCAATGCGGGATCTTTCGGTCAGAGTCACTCACCAGCGTGTATCAATGTCTGCCGTGCGCACTCCAGGAGTACTGACTGAGCTTCCTTCGCTCCTTTCGTTGGAATAAACTTTTTGAGCCGCTGGGACGCCCGGGTTTCCCAGGCGTCCTATTGGCCCATATTGTCGCTGTTACCATGGCGAGGACCCTACCTTCCTTTCGGCTGCCCCACTTCTTCCCGGGGCACCTGACAAGGGGCGCTTCTAAGAGGGTTGAGCCTTGGTTAGTAGTTGTTATTAGTTAACCGTGCCATGCTTACACACTCTCTCTAGTGAGTGCGCCACAGCGTATGAAAAACCACAGCGTACGGAAAATATTATCAATATCTTCATTCTTCATCTTCAAATAATCATCATTAATTATAACCATGCCTAAATCTTCTAATTACACTGAGGAGCAGTTGCAAAGAGCTGTTGATGCGTACAAAAGCAATTCAAAATTAAAAATCACATCTCTGTCGCGAGAATTCAAAGTCCCATATGCCACCTTATATAGGAGGATCAACGGGAAGAAATCAAGGACTATGAGGGTTCCACTGAATAGAGCATTGAATGACAGCCAGGAGGAGGCAATTAAGATATGGATTCATCAGTTGGATATTAATTTTTGCCCGCCCACCATCGAGCATATCGAAGCCGCCGCGAACCGCATGTTGAGACAGCATCATACAGATCCAGAGACCGCACCTCCCACAGTAAGCAAGATGTGGGCATATCAATCCATCAAACACCTGCCAGATTACGAACGGGTCAAGCAAAAGCCCATGAATCCAAAACAGATGTCTTGTGAGAATATAAGCTTCATTATCAACTGGTTTGATCAATATGAAGCTGTCTTCAATCAATATCACTTTTTCCCCTGCGATATCTACAACTTTGATGAGATTGGATTTCAAGAAGGAGAAGGATGTGGACAGTGGGTTATAACTGTCTTTAGAGACACAAATTCCATCATACAGTCATCATACTCCCGCGGGTTAATAACAGTGGTGGAGTGTGTCAGTGCAGATGGCACAGTATTGAATCCATTGATTATAATGAAATCAAAGATCCATCTAGAGGATTGATATACACACTTCAACTTACCTGACAACTACACCATTACCGCATCCGAGTCTGGCTTTACAAATGATGAGATTGGATTTGAATGGATCAAGTGGTTCAATAAGATGACAAAAAAGTGTCAAATGAGCAGTCATTGACTGCTATTAATGAACAATCATGATTCTCATCTCACAGAAGAATTCATCCAATACTGTGATCTTCATAAGATTATTCTATTCAGATTCCCATCTCATACAAGTCATATTCTACAACCTCTTGATGGCATACCTTTTCAGCAGCATAAGCATTATCATACAAAGGCAGTTAATGAGGCCGCCCGCTACGGATATGAGCAGTATGGTGGCAGACAATTCCTTGCTAATCTGGAGAGCGTCTGACTGCAAGCATTCAAACCTGGCACTGTGAGAGCTGGCTTTGCCGACCGCGGAATGTATCCAGTTAATTGCGATATAATTCTCAATCGATTGAGACCTCTTACCATTGATGATGCCCCGGATCTCAACATATATGATGGTGATGGTGATGTATGCAATCACTTTACCCCGCCGCCTGCAGATCGACTGTCAACTGCCTCTTTGCAATTAACCTCCCCAGAGACAGTTGCAAAACTACGTCGCCAAATCGATGCAGCAGCCAAGGCCTTACAAGATGTGAAGGATACCCTTACACCTGGTTTGACAAGGCGGTTGGACAAGATCTTCAAGGGTAGCATGGTCCAGGCGGAATTGAACGCGCACCGTGAGGGTGAACTTGCAGGTCATTATCGAGCAAATAGACGTCGGGTCGTCAAATCCTCCCGCAGGCAGGTGCAAGTAGGCGGAGTCCTCACTATTAAGGATGCCAATCGCAAGATCGCGACCCGTAGAGCAGATGAGATGAAAAAGACGTTCAATAAGAATCTTCAGTCGATTGGAATCAAACCTACAAAATCTACAGCCACTCAACCACAACAAGATAATTCTATAGAATCTCAACCTACAGTGGATTCTACACCTTCTAATGAGTATATAGATAATCTTTATGTTATAGATAGATGTGGTGGTGGTTATTAATTAATTTTCGAAGATCACTATATTCAAAATATTTTCCGTACGCTGTGGTTTTCCGTACGCTGTGGCGCACTCACTAGAGAGAGTGAGTAAGCATGGCACGGTTATTGGGGGAACAAAAACAGAAGAAACAACAGATTGCGTGAATGCCCTGGTTCCCAAGAATCGAGGCCATGATATCTCCATCACTCTGTCGGTTGGTCATGAAAATGGCCTAAAGCTGATTGAGGATCTGGGAGCTATCCGCGTATGAACTTCACGGTCGCTCCTATCACGCGAACCCTATACCCAGCAGGAACGTTTCCTGTCTCCTCTAAGGAAGGGTCATCTCCATTTTCCCAGTATGGCGGAGTATCCATCTTTATTTTCGGATCATAAACCATGATCGAGTCGCCCCTCCCTATCACTTTTCTGGGATAATTTACTTCATCGAAAAGCTTGACGTTTATATATTCTTCTTGTCCCTGAAGCGCTCTGTCCCCAACCTTCTAACTAGAAATTAGCTTATCTGTAAAAGACATCCAGGAGTGACGCCAACCTCTTCAGTGTCTCCTGGCATTTTCTAGCCGATGTTGCGGTATCGCAGTCACCGTGGTGATCGCAACGGAGGGAAGGCTTCGTAGAATAATCTGCAACAGCAAGTTGTTAGAAAGGCATCGGTCGAGGTATTGAGGAGTGCTTTCACTTTCGTAATTCTCTTTAGATTAAACTGCGCCGTATGCTCATAAGTAGGCTTTGTTGTTTTGTCAAGCATGAATCCGACCACCTGCCTTCTAGGAGCAGAGAGGTGACCGACCGACAGACAGGTAGTAGCGATGATATAACCAGCTGGATTTAAATACAGACTGGTAAATTACTGATGTGGAAGGCTTTAAAGTGGCATCAGCCTTCAGCTGGCACTCAAAAGACTGATTCTCCAACGTGGAGAAAGTTTTTTTGAGGGGCAAAGGATAGGGTGACATGTGACCGGTAACTGTCCCTCCTGAAAAGTCATGGTCGCGTTGGGCAGCAAAAAAATCAGAGCATAAAATCCTCCTCTGAGGAAATAGATCTTGAACAAGTAATATCACAGCTCAACCTTACACAAACTTTTGCCACCCATTCACTATCTTTTGTGTTTTCTTATTTACACAAATTTAAAAATTCATCTGCATAGGATCTTGGAGTTAACAAGCTGAAATCTTCTTTTTTCTCATTTTCTTGACAACAATAATGCATTAAGACTAGCGTGCTCTCTTGGTTCTGTTTGATGACGTTTCCACCGACTGTCCCGAAAAAGTTAAAAGTTGTCAGGCAGAACGAAGGCAAATTCATTGAAGGTTTGGAGAGGATGTATGGTAAGAGCATCCTCGTGGAGCTCAAAGCTGCAATTTGAAGCTAAGCTCCCGTTATTGTGGCGGACGTAAAGCTTGCGAAAACAGAATTTTCTGCCACCACCTGAAAAATAGTAGCAAAACACCGCAGAAATAACCAAAATATCCACGTATCTCTAGAATCATTCAAATATCATCCAATTCATTCAAATCTGCACCTTTATCTGCCAATATGCCCTCCCAGCTCAGCGAATTTACCACCAATGAGATCGTACGCCTTCTAAACGATGGTTATATGCCTGCTCAGATTGCGCGGACCATTGAGTGCCATCTGGCCACTGTATATCGAATCCAACGAAATATTCGCTGCTTTGGAACTGCTAGAAGTCCTCATTCAACATGGGGTGTAAAGCCAAAGATCACACCGGATATCTTGTCAGGTTTGGAGGACTTTTTTGAGGCATATCCAACTGCATATCGCGATGAGGCTGTCTGCTTTGTGAAGGATGAATTTGATGTTGATATCCACCCTCATTCTTACCTCCATATTCTCCTGATTATAATCCTATAGAGGAGTCATTTCACGCGTTGAAAGAATGGATTAGAAGATACAGATGTCAGTTAGAGAATCAGTTTGATGGAGATTTTGAAACCTTCTTGCATCATGCAGTTGAGAATTTCATGGGAGAAGAAGATGCAAGAGGATATTTCAGATCTGCTCATATAGGATAGTATTGTAAAATTTAAAAAGATTCAGATTGCAATTCAATTATGATGATATATAATATCTAAGTTTCAAATTCAGAAGCAGAAGCAGTATGAGGTCTGCTGCCATCATTACAAACAGCAGATAAAGACAATTTAATCTCCTTCAACTGTGACTGCCAGATAGGACTCTTTAACCCATTTCTTATTATCGAGAATATACCCATTCCAATATTCAACTGAACCACCTGCTCATTTGTCATTGTCCGTATATGATCCAGTTCAAATCCTTCATTCTGAATAATGCTCTTTGCAGTTAAAAGAGCTTCTGCTCTTCGAGGTCTCTCTGTCATCAACCAGTTGAAGAACTCATCAATAAACAGATCCGCGTGTTCACCAAACTGAGGGATTGGACTACTTCGAATAGGAGGCAGGTTCGGATTCGATGGCAGGTTCGGATTCGATGGCAGGTTTGGATTCGATGGCAGGTTCGGATTCGATGGCAGGTTCGGATTCGATGGCAAGTTTGAATTCGATGACAAGTTTGAATTCAGTCCTCCCATGCCTCCCATTCCTTCCATCATATATTTCATCACCATCACATTGATTATCTCACTTGGAGACACAATATTAGATGAAGAAGGAGTTGAGGGAGGAAATATAACTGCTGGCATCTGAGGTGTCTGTATAGAAGGATTAGAAGCAGAGATAGATTCGCTTTTTTGTTCCTTCTTCTCCTTTCTATCCATTAATCTTTTTGTCATCTTTCTTGAGGGATTTTTAACTGTTGCATGTCCACGTTCAACATCATCTATCCAACTGGCAATCTCACTACTCAGGAGTTGAATATGAGTATCATCAAAAGCTATCCAACAAGTGCCCTGCTCAAAGTTATGACAATTCATCTTTTGACAACGCCAGTGAGCAGTTATCTCACGCCCAATCCGCAAAGAATCATGCTCATTTGACCGTCGATTTCGAGCCTCCTTCAGCTGCTGGCTAGTGGCCGTGGATCTTGTACGCGTAGGCGGCAGCTTTTCGTCATCGGATATTTCATGAATTCGAGGGGATTTGGCAGGACGATAGAGAGGGGATTTGGCAGGTGGTGAGATTACTTCTTCTTTGACATCTAATGCTCTTTTTGATGCCAATGCCTGGGTTGTTAATTGGGAATCCGACACTCCAATGAAAGCTGCAGGACCGCGTATTACAGAGGTGTTTGAGGATAGAGTTGAGATATCAAGAAGATTAAAAGAGGTGGTAATCTCGATGCTAAATCCGCTCATCTTCTCCTTATATAACTCCTTCAAAAGAGTGATAATCTCTCTCCAATCTGTCTCCTTCTCAAGGGTGATTTTGATTGAAGATCCACGTTTGTTTGATGAGCTGACTGCTATACAATTTGCAACTTCTATCTCCTTGCAGTTCTGCTTCATAACATACTCTTCAGCTATTCTTTTTGCAGTATATTGGATATGATAGAAGCTGACAGTCATATCATTTGTTGTGACATTCCGTAACTTGATCTTTATAGGCTCCTTTATCCCATTGATAATCACCCGTTCATACAGCCTGAATGAGATCTCAGGCTCAGGGGTAGATCTTCTGACTGTGTCTCCTCCTCCTCCTCCTCCTCCTCCTCCTCCTTATCCTCCTTCTCATCATCAGTTGGATTCTCGTCATTATCCGGAACATCCGGAACAGGCGGTTTGGACAGACGAAGGCGCAGGGTAGTTGGAGTCCTTTTACGAGCTTGCGAGGCAGTAGAACGGTGGGTGTTGCGGGGCATATTGGCAGATTTGATGATAAAGGTGCGTATTTGAATGAATTGGATGATATTTGAATGATTCTAGAGATACGTGGATATTTTGGTTATTTTTGCGGTGTTTTGCTACTATTTTTCAGGGGGTGGCAGAAAATTCAGTTTTCGCAAGCTTTACGTCCGCCACAATAGCAGCAGTTGGCATGTGGTCAAAGAGCATTACCGTTGCAAATTGCGTCCATAGTGGCTGTATCATGTACCCCAAGACTGTGATAATCATTGAAATGAGCGACAAAAGCCCCGCAGCTGTGGTTGCCGCCCAAAGTGCTCGCCGATGCCGTGAGATTACGGTTGTTGACAGACACACGAACATTTTCAGATAGAAAAAATGTCTTTCTAGGGAATGAACTCTTGGGCTGTTCTCGTTCGCTGCACAGATTATCCAGAGCCTAAGATACTGTATGAAAAGGAAAATATTCTCGACAACAGTGAGAGCAAGAACCACTGAGTATATAAGATGTCGCGATCTCGGTGAAATGCCATCACTGAAAAAGCTAGAATCGTCAGTGACTATTATTATAATCGTGAGGAGTATAACCTACGAAAATAGTGTCAAGAGCTTGCAAACAGGGAGTGCGATGGCAAAGCTATTAAGTAGCTGGGAAAGATGATTTCTGAGAGTGAGATACTAAAAAACAGTTAGCTTTCTCAGCACGGTGCTGGAAGGAGCGTGCTGACCTCGTGTATTGTCGGTAGAACCAGGAGCACCCCGATTTCAAAAGTGAGAATTGGCCTTGAAGGATCTTCCATAGCAATCAGCATTGTCCAGTCGTTAACTAAATGTACACTTTACCTTGTTTCCAGACCGGATAAAAGGCAGCTAGAAAGATAGAAATAATGGTCCCCATAAAGACTATTGCGCCTATTATCGCCTGACATAGAAGGGTTGGATTTCTGTGTAACAATCTGATCTTTAAAAGGTCTCTATTTGCAATTAAAATCAACCAAAACATAAGACTCGCTCCTGAGGAGACCGATGCGATTGTCGAAGCTGCAAGTTGAAACACAAGGAAGTTTCCCATTATCAGTTACATTGAGCTCACAATGAGCAGCACTTTGATGAGTGAGTTGCTCTCTATATATACTTGCTCTTATCCTCATATCCTTCCCTTGTGTGGATCGGGAAATACTAGTCTCGGAACTTAGTGTTGTTAGACTGAAACATCTCCAGCCAAATACAGCTTTTTATGACTTGTATAGCATATCTTCCTTTTGGATTTGTACAAGTGTAATGTACATAGCTTCCTTATGTTTTAAAATGCTCGGGATTGTATGCAGTGACCAGGGGTCAACGTTACACAAATCATGCAGCTCTAGGCAGCACAGGCTGTGTGATGTTCCCCATTTATGAGAATCCAAAATCAAACCCTTACCCTAGTGCAAACCTATATAAACATGGCAAAGACACGTCTCAAGACCACATCTCACACACTACAAGCCTTATTTGACGTTTACTAGCCTCACATTAAGATTCTTTCGAACATTCTTTGCTCGCCTTCATCACTTCCACGTAAGATTCTGGCTCTAATTATTTTGGATTACTGTTACTTACAATCTTTCTCAGCATGTGTACTGTTGACGTTTCCACAAAAATTTATGAATGTGGCGACAGAGTCACAGAAGATGTCAAATTTACTCCTTGCTCTGACATTGACACTCCTTCCTGTCCCGGCCGCAAGGAAAACACTTTGGGTTCGAACAGAGTGAAAGGAAAATGTGGGAGACATGGTTGTATTAATCCTTAGGTAAGAACTGCCACAGTCTGCATTCAGCTGTTAGTCAACTAAGGGTATATTTTTTGGCAACAAAGGCACGCCTCACAAGTTTCCACAACTTCGGAAATCATAAATGGATGACAGACAATGTTTTGTTTTCTGCTGTGTTATTTCAAATAGCAATTAGGACTCAACACTCTCATGCCTCCCAGCCTGTAACGAAATTTCTTCAAATATGATGCTCTGATCACGAACAATTGTATCTACTTCTCCGTACTGTTCCATCCAGCAACCTTGTATAATGTCTCCGCCAATTAGACCTTCAACTGGGGGAAACATACCCAAGGAGAAGAGTTCATCCACCCTTTCTCCGTAACTCAATTTCTCCTTCAATGATCCGAACGGCCCTGCAGACTTGTATGGCCAGTGACCAGTCATAATTGTATAGAACACTGATCCAAGGCTGAATAGATCTGTCGCTTTTGTTGATACCCAAGGTTTCCGTGGGTTGAAAAAGCCAGAATCTGGGAGATGTCCACCATCTATGACACCGCTAGTTGAGCCTCCAAAATCACTAAGGAATAGATTGAGAATACCATCGGAATTCCTGTGCAGCAAATAGTTTTCGGGGCGTAGATCAGAGTGGATGACGCCTTTCTGGTGAATGTATCGTATAGCTTCTGCAGCTTGGGAGCACCATTGAAGACGCAAGATTGTACTAATCACGCCATTGCCGTGGTCAAGGTATGTTTGCAAATTGCCAGCATTGGCCTCAACAAAAAGTAAGCCTCGGGGGCTTTCAGAGGGGCCAAGGAACCTGAGCATACATTAGTGCGGAAAAGAAATGAAATTTTGAGTGTCCATACTTTATTATTCTAGGGTGGTCCCCTAAGATTCCAAGAATTTGCTCTTCAACATCGAAACTGTGCTTGATATGCTTGACCGAATCGTGGGATTCTGCGTTTGGAGAATGCCACCATGAATAGCGAGGCGATTTGAGAACAACCCCAGGTTTGATCCGTGTAATGATGGAGGTTGAGCCATGATCCAGAACTTCTTTGAGATGAGGTTCATAGGCTACCAGTTCCGAGCTTCCGTCCCATGCAACTGCTCTATTTTCTTCAGTGTGCGTTTGTGAATCTTTCGGTGGAGTTGATTTCGCGTGCTAGACAATAAAAGTTTAGTGAAAGACAAACTATAGTTTGGCGTTGTATCTTACTTGCCGTATCTCCTTTTCTATGCTTGTGCACTGCTCAACATCCTCAAATCCTGGCTCAGCCGACCCATTGAGCCGAAATTGGAATGGACGAACGATACTCCTTGAAAACACAGAGATAAAATGCCATAGAGTAGACCATATCGGCCAGCGAAGTGGGTGGATGAAGGTTAGCATGACGATGCTGAGACCTTAAAGCTTTTCGAAGATGATCTTGCTTAATTGCTCGCAATTTTATAGCCAAATTAGACTATCGGAAAATTGTAATTCCGGCTCACTAGTAGCCTCAGCAGAAGTTACACCCAATACCTCGTTCACCCAACAGACGCAGGTATTGAAGCGGCCAAGGAGGCAGAAATAGTGTATGACATCAACATCAGCTGATTAAGAGACGAAGTAATTATTATCATTTGGATTATTCTACGTCAACTTGACCTAGAATATCATAAACACACTACCTCATTGATCCTTTGCCATGGCCTCGCCGTAAAAACCTAAGATTTTTTTAGTACAGTCGCGTCTGTAAAACACCTCTTGGAGCCGGAACGGGACTCTAACATTCTTGGTTTGGCACCCGAAGATGATCCGATCCAGGAAACTCCCAGGAAACTCCCAGGACTCCTAGCATGTCACGCCCGGTTCTAATGGCACTTTTGGTTTGACGCCGGGTATGCCGACGACGGAGTTCGTGGCTTGAACCACGCTCACTACGAAATCCTACATGATCTTGAATATTTCATGACTGGTTCAGTTCGTTCACGTGATGCTACCCAAGTTGTCTTTCTGGGATTCCCCTCCAGTAGACCACCAAAGCCGGGTACGTTATGATTACTTAACTGGGCTGAATTCGAAAAAGTGGGATACTGATGTGGGTGGCAGATCGTGGCACAGGATTATTGGTTGATCCAATCAGGGAAACTGCACCTTGCGTTTACGCCCAACAAAGTCCGATCTCTATTGGTGGCAAGCGAAGAAGAATTGACATCAGGGAAAAGCATTCTCCTTCTCTCCCTTTCTTCCTCTCTCCCTGTCTCGTAGTCCTGTTCTTTCTCGGATAACAACTGAGAAAAGACAAAAATGGTAGCACCAGAGGACGAGCTCAAAGAAGCTCTTTCAAGGTGAGGAGTTAGTGTTCCCTTAACTTCACTCGTTAATGTCTTCTATTAGTGTTCTCAACACGGGCCTATATTCCGACCTGGAAATCCTCTCTCGAGGTAGGAGTTTCAAGGTACATCGATGCATTGTTTGCCCTCGATCGGAATTCTTCAAGAGATCATGTAGTGGAGGCTTCAAGGCATGGCGCTCCCTGAGATATTGACAGTCATTTCAGCTTCTAATCTGAACAGGAGGCGGCGGCCGGGCGGATAGATCTTGACGATGACCATCCATTGATAATTGAAAAGGCGGTGAACTATCTTTATAAACTTGACTATTCGGACGACGACTACCGTACTGGGCCCCTTTTGCCGGAAGTGGAAGAACAATCGCTTTTGAGAGATCCATGTGCTCTCTTTTCGGACCTCAGTGATGAAGGCATGCTGGAAATCTCCAGTGAGCATAAGAGCGGTACCCTTCCGCTTTTATTCAATGCTCAGATCTATGCTTTTGGTGAAAAATACGGAATTCCAGGGTTAAAGGAACTTGCAAAGGAGAAGTTCGAAGCTGCTATTGAGCATGCTGGATGCGACCCCATAGTTTGCTCAGTGGTTAGCCTTGTGTATAAGTCCACTTGTGACGGAGACCGCGGCTTACGGGATGTGATGCTCAGAATTGCATATCAAAATGCTGCTACTTTAGGACCACAGCCAGAGTTTCAGAGGACCCTTGAAGCACTACCTTCTTTTACACTGGATCTGGCCCGTGAGTTTATTAAAAACACAACAAACCCCTCTGCTTCTGAAACAGTCCCTACTTCTGGGACAGTTCTTGCTTTCGAGAGGGTTCCTGCTTCTGGGATAGCAACAGGATTTGGGCGGTGAGTGTGAGTGGCTCTCTTTATCATTGGACCTCTCTGCGGTGAGGTTAACGGTTACTAGGATGGCAAAACGACGAAGCTACTGCTATGACTGCGAGAGGGAATTCGTTGACCGTCAAGCGCTTCGTCAGCATGACACGGATTATCATAGCTATTGTACAGACTGTAAACAGTCATTTTCCTCAGCCAAGAAAGCCAGGGCGCATCGTACTCGCAACCATTGAACACTACATAAGGCCAGCCGCTGACTTGTCTTGCGACTCTGATCGGTTTGTCACAATTCCATTCCTTCGACGAAATATAAAGAGGACTTTCGGGGGATACGAAGTGCATGCCAAAATGACATTGGATGATATGCAGGAGTATGGGCGGCATTTTTTCCTGTGTGTGATGAATGAATGGACGTGGTGAGAATCTGAAATCAAAAAGAAATTAAATTCTCTCTAGTATACAGGTTTCTACTTTCAATTCCAACTGCATATCTTCTGCGTCTTTACACTAATTCCCGAGATCACTCGCGTCGACTCTTATCTGGCTACGGACGATAAATCGGTTGGTATTTCGTCTCTCTGTACAGGCATGGAAGTGGGGAGGAGACAATCGCATTGTCGGAGCACTCAGTATATTGGATAACGCACTTGGTTCAAAAGAATCAAGCCAAACAACATTCACGCTCAAAATCACTGGCCTCAACTAGCGCGATCTAAGGAAATCATATGTCATGAACTAGGCAAAAGCCATGGAGCATTGCGTCCGCATCCTGGTACGGTGACAATATTTGGATATGCCATTGTGGGTAAAAATCGCGACTATCACCAAGACATAGGTTCCGATGAAGTATTAGTCCATTCAAATGTTTCTCGATTTTAAGGCCATCAAATAGTGACCAATGCGCCCCGAACCCGTGTCTTGTATCATAAGCAGTAAAAGAGCGTACATGATGTGCGCAACAGAAACTACCAGGCGGTGGCATCCCTCACATTAAATATCCTCAACAAGAAAACAAGAGCTATTCACTGACTCTCATCCTTTTTAGCACCGGCGCCGCTTCTTCAGCCGTGAAGATCTCCTGGGCTCCGGAGAAGTGGACCCTGCTCGCTTTCTCGCCTGAGAGGCTCTGCTTGCAAGCCCGATGTCCAACTTCTCCTTGTATCACTTGAGCTGGTCCGGAGCAACCTTCGCAACGTCATCCTCCGACCGCCAAATGGGCGGCCACAGGAGAAACTCGAGGCGCTTATCCTTAGCCTGCCAATATAGGAGGATATAAAGGCCGCTTGTGTCTGGCTCAAAGCGACATGCAAAAGAGTCGCCGACTGCAGCATGGGTGTCCTTTGAGTGTTTGTTCCCAGAGACATTATCTGCCACTCCAGTGGGGATAGACTGCGGTGACAATGGTGCGACATTCTCCTTGTTGCTGCCAGCGCCGCCAAGACATCCTGTACTCATCAAGATGTGCCCTCTGCAGCCCACAATATTAGAAAGACTCACGTTTGCTTGCAGTGATCGCCTTCGCCTCTGGCTCTGACCGGGCAGGTCCTGTTGGGCGTGACCCCAACTGTGGCTGCGCCTGCGACTCCCCTTCCAAGTCCTGGGCTGACATTGCCTCCCTGTTCCTTCCACCGCTAGCTTCACTATCACTCTCACACTCAGTATCACCTTCAAGGGTTGACTCTTCTCGATCTTCACTGAGAGGCTCTGTGTCATGTTCTTCATCCATACTAGCCTCCAGGTCAATCGGGTTGGTGACGATCCAGGTTCACTGTCAACTGAACGAGAAGGGCGTACAAATTGGGACAGAAGTTGATCAACAGTTGGAGGACTCGATCCGCGAGAGCTCTGAGAATTGTAGAAGCTCGTTGTCAAGGATTCTTGTTCAAACACTGATTAGTTTTTGGATAACAACTTAAAGTCGTTGTACCTACCTGGAATCTCGCGTGCCGCAGAATGTTCCCGCAGAGAGGGTGTCATCGTCAGTGGAGAGTTGGATTTGCTGCTTGCAATGGTAGGATATCGTAGTGCTCTGATCCTTTTGAAGGGGCAAATTTGGTCGGGAGAGTGGCGCTTTTATGTTTACGACGACCGCAACACGGGCGAATGGGGGAAATCCTACTGTGCCATTCTACCTGCTCGCTTCCATCACATTTTCCCCGCAGGAAGAATCACCACAGCGCAGGAGCGTTAATGTCATGGAGGGTCAAGTTAGCGCCACTCGCCGTTTGTAACATCATGACACCCTAAGGGGGCTTCCATTGCCAGCGAAGCGAGATTGATAGCCCTGCTTTTATCCCCTCCTTGGCGAAATGCAAATATCCATTCGCAACATCCCTGGGTGTGCTCGTGGCGAGCTGAAAGGTGGGTGCAGTACAAGCGTCTCCTCCCAAAATGAGTTACAAGGGTCAGACCATGGACCAAGGACTGCTTTCACCTGTTGTAGCAGAGCGCCCGAGCGCCCATGCACTGATCAGGAATTCGCTCTTAATCGCAAAAAGTACGCAGCGACGTAGGCATCATCATGAGCGAAAATTGATACCAAATCAAGTTAGAGAACAAGCCCAATATCCAGGATGACAGTAAGGTCGGCCAAATCCTGGTAAAACAAGGCATGAAAATGAACGTCACCTGCCACCTTGCAATACCAGCCGCCATCCACGCAGAAAATAAGGGAAGATCATCCCTCTCGCATTTTATTTCCTAAACTGTAGCATCGACCGAAGGGGTGCTAGATGATTGTCATGCGACCATAGCCACTCCAATGCACGGTCTTATCGCTTGGACACGAATTCCCAATAGCGAATCAGTCTGTTAAATCATCTTGAAGTGCAGATCGTGAAGATGGGGAAACTCCGACGTCGCATCACATCGTCGCATCGTCCCCTTCTCTCCGGGTCGATTTTAGCACCCAGGAAGCTGAGGCTGAAGTCCAGTTTCCTCGACTCAGTATCTTGCTGCTAGCCAAGAAGGAACATAGCGTGACTGAGAATTTACCTGCACTGGAGCAGTTTGGATCATGTCCACATCATGCATCGGACACGGCGCGAGGGCTGGATCGCCGGGGAGATAATTTTCTTCATCCGGACACATCACCCTTGTAGCCAACTCTCATCGTGGTCAGGGCCTGACGCGTAATGATCCGCGGCGCAGCAAGGCAGATACCGTTTCTGCCGTGCTGAGGCATTTTTTTCATTGGCGTACCATATCAACAATGGTCATAAGACCGCCCATCACCGGCATGGACCACAGGTGAGAAACGTCGGGGTTCGCCGATCGACTGCGAAAAGGAGAGATAAGGACCACAAGTACCAAGGCACAGAATGGGATTGGCAGCACTGATAGAATAGAAGTGCAGAACTCAAATCATAGAATGTAAAGAAATAGCTGGTCTTGTATCTGACAGGAAAATGAGATCAACAAAGCGAAGGGGAAACCTCAGCCAGTCACAGTCCCTCACACACCAGATATCCCAGTAGTGATCTCAGTCTGTGCATAATTCTAGGGGAATTGGACTGTAGAGTGAAACGAAATTGCATCAGGGAAGAAGGGAAGTGAACAGAGTCGCCAGGTCGAGAACTGTTTCAGCTGCGGCGCAGCCGGTCCGCATGGCGCTGACGGTGGGGCCAAAGGGAAGCCAAAGGGAAGGGATGCGCGGCACACACGAGACAAGAGAATTGTGAGGAAAGAAAGGGAAAATAGGGACGATGGAGAGAAGATGTTCGAGCGGCGGGAGAAGGGGGTTTTATATAGTCCAGAAAGCGGCGATATTGCGCTAAACCCGATCGGACTGGCGCTAAACTCTACAGGGCAATTCCCCATGATACGGTATACCTAGGTACTATGTGTGGGTCACGTGGGATAGGGCTTGTGTAGTACATAGCTCCAACAGCGCTGCTCCTCCAACAGTCAATCACCACGCGGAAAGCACAAATCAGAGAATTCCATTCGCCATGGGTTGAGCCAATCAGATAAGTGCGGAAGACGCGAGTGACGGTAGACAGCAAGCTTCTGCTTCCCGAGGGAGGAAATTGGGGCCATAAATGAGTTATGAACAACTGGTGGTGATCAGCGTGGGCGGGACTTCCTGGGCGAAGAACTACATTTGTTGGGCATTCACATATGTTGGGTTGGCGTTGCTTGGCGTTGCGTTGTGGACTGGGACCATAGAAGGTCAATGGGCGAGGTGGGAATTATCTAGATGTCAGATCCCAGGCTGCATCCATGTCTCCCCTGCATTTCCTTAACTTATTGGCGGTTCTGTTCGTTCGCCATCATCCATACAGGCGGTATATTTCCAACATCCAACACTGGGATGAGACAAATATCCCGTGAACAACAGCAAAGAGTAGAATGTGTGCCACTTTCGAAGGAGGGACATGCAGTACTCTGTATCTATTGAAATGTGTTCTTGCTGGTGTGGTCTGCGATGCGCAATCCTGAAAAAAAGTCTCACATAACTGTTCATTGTTCATTCTCCAGCCTACCCGCCCCTTATGTAACCACCGCTGTGCAAAATATCACCGTTGTGCCAGTTCTCGCATTTTTTCATCCCCAACCGGCATCATATTGATTGCCTTCTAAATGATCAGAGTTGATGGATTGTGAAACTTCTGAAGTTTTCTGAAGTTATCTAACATCTCATCAAAAGCAATCTTCTTGCCCATCTGGCGGGAGCAGGAGTGATGATAGGGGACATTGAATTGATGAGCAAGAGTAGCACGGCTGAGGCCAGGACATCTTTCATCAAATCCTATAGCTGCTTCTACACATTTATCAAATTCTTGAGATCTTTCAACCATCTTGAGATAGAGAGAATTGCGTGGTTGGGGATGGAAAACCGCGAGAACCGGGCACAACGGTGATATTTTGCACAGCAATGCTTACATAATGGGTGGGGCGGTGTGTACCTCAGGAGAGCTTTCATCGGAGTGCAAGCCAGGGACCTGTTCCTGATCAACAAACAGCATGCTAGTCAGACGCAGACAAAGCGATCAACAGGCCAAAACGGTGACCGAAACATCAAACAAAGGAAGCAGGGTTCCCCCAACTGGTGCTAGCCTTATTTGGGACACATTAACCTCATCCTAGCTTGCACCATCCCAGGGTCCGTCAGTGAGAAGCTACTTGCGCTGTAAGGGTCTAGAGAAGTATTACTATGTACGGAGTATCAATCGCCTCAATACCCTCGCAGAGGTAAATGGCCACGGATATCCGCCAGAGCGCAGACATATACAGTCTCTTCTCCTCGTCGCCCTGTATTGATCCCGGCTATGACCTGACCACTTTCACCCCACAGACATCCAGGAAGTGCACAATGAAATGCACACAACTCAACCGGCGCCAACGGATCAGCCTTGCACTGATCTCTGCCTTTCTCCTCCTGCTGGCCGTTCACTATCGCAGCCAAAGGCGCTTTTCCTTCCACATTGCAAAGACATCTCATCTTCCTGTATCTCTACAACCTCCGAAAACTCACCCTCCCCTCCCCCTCCCCCTCCCCCGGGCCCCGGCCCCGGGCCCCGGCCCCTCAACATCAGACTTAGATTCTCAAAGTCTCAACGATGAACCAACTATACCCCATCACACCATAACGCGTTCCCTAGTAATCGCCTCCATCCTCGACGAAAACACTGCCTGGGCCTCCGAACTGTCCTCCACAGACCCCAACCTAACCACGGCAATCTATATCGTTGACAACCCTAACCCAAACAACACCACCAGCAAGCCCCCCCACCTAACCGTCCCCGCAAACAAAGGCCATGAAGCCATGGTCTACCTGACCTACATAATAGACACCTACCACGCCCTCCCGGACATCGTCATCTTCATGCACGCCCACGACACAACATGGCACAACAACGATTTCCTCTCCTCCTCAGGCCAAACCGTCCAACGCCTCCGCAGTGCCAAGGTCCTGCGCGACGGCTACATGAATCTGCGCTGCCACCACGAACCAGGCTGCCCAGATCACATCCACCCCACCAAGCCAACCACCACGGCCACCGCGGCCACCACAGCCGGCGAAGGCGAAACCGACGAAACGCAGAGCCACGACGACGCCCTCAACATCCCCGAGTCTGCCGTGATGGGCCTCGCCTGGACCGAGCTCTTCCCCACCACGCCCATCTCGCGCGTCCTCTCGCAACCCTGCTGTGGGCAATTCGCCGTGAGCGGCAGCCGGATCCGCGCCATGCCGCGCGAGCGCTACGTGCAGTTTCGGGAGTGGCTGCTGAAGACGACACTGGACGATCGGCTCAGCGGGCGGGTGTGGGAGTATCTGTGGCAGTATGTGTTTGGAGGGGTAGAGGAGTACTGTCCGGACGAGTATAGCTGTTATTGTGAGGGGTATGGGGTATGTTTTGGCGGGGATGAGGGGCGGTATCGGCGGTATTTTGAGCTAAGGCAGAAGAGTCGTGAGATTGAACGGGAGATTGAGAGGCTTAGGAAAGAAGGCAGCGGTGGCGATGTGGATGCGGGGAGAGTGAAGGCGTTGGAGAGAGAGAAGCAGGGATTGATGGAGGAGATGGAGGAGATTCGGGCGACGTCAGGGAGCCGGTGATGGGGATTTTGAGAGTCCCCATTTCTTTCTCCGTTTTTCATCATTTCCTGGGAATGGAGTTTATGGGATTTTAGAA